AGAAGATCCAAAGATGAGGCACGAAGCCGAGCAGGAAAGTGAAGAAAACTAGAAAGAAGTTAGAGAGAGAAAGCTAAGAAAATCTGAGAAGCGAAGTAAAGAATGAAGTAGGGAAAGGCCCCTTTTATAGATCGAAGTCGGGCAGACGAAGAGTCATCTAGAAGCTCGCGCATCGCTTCGCGTCAGCCAATCAGGAACAAGATAGGGGTGGGCCAAATACGTCACGGGCCTCGGAACCACATCGACGAGCCCAAAGCCCACCTACTCGCCGACTGGGGGGCTACTGTTGGGCATGGGCTTCAACAATAGTCATTTTAGAAGCCCATTTCCGGAGAAGCCTAGCAGGCARAAGCCCGACGAGCTCGGCCCAGAGATTGGAAGCCCAACGAGCCCACCTTATTCTCTCCACTTATTAGTATAAATAGAGGTCCCCATCCCATGATTTAGAGATATTTTTTTTCTATTTTGAGGACAAGCATAAAAGAATTTGAGAGATAAAAACAAACATTCTCTGACACCAAAAAGGGAAGAATCTCCTGATCGAGTTCGACTGATCAAGAAATAYAAGAACTGTTCACTGAAAAATTTAGCAGAGTTTATACTCGTCATCTAGTTCCGACCTCAAATACTCATTCAACGACCTCATATMTTCCAARCTCGATACAYAGTCYTCTCTATCACGTACAATATAATTTGCTGTAATCTGCTTCCGAGTTAGCATCATTAAACGGGAATTTTCGATCCTTTACCGAACACAAATTTTTTGTCGAACACCTGGATCAACAAAGAAGAGTTAGAAGATCCATAAAATCAAAATCAAATTAAGAACGCAATGCAATGAAGATAAGAAATGAGAGAAGATGTAAAACTGAAGAAAACTAAGAAAATGTAAACTATAAACTAGGGTTTCAATATGTCGATTGCGATGAACCGTCTAAAAAAACAAACAACAATAACAAAATATGCAAAACACAACAATGGTTAAAAATGTGTATAGACTAAATTACAAATTAACAACAAACTATTTTCTATACGCCGATTGCGATGAACCATCTAAAAAAATTGTAAAAATGTACTTTTCGAATTGCCGCGAGCTGCGGATTTAAAATTAAGTAAAGTAATCAAATGGATGACAACTTGCTTCTCGATCCAGATGCGTTATCTTGTATTTATTCATACTCTTACTATTGTAGGCTTTTAGCTAATGAAAATGTAAGTCAGGGAGTTAATTTAATTCTAATAAATATAATGCTCTATCCAAACAAGAGCTCAATTACCATGGAAAAAGAACAACAAGAAGACATGTGCAGTAGTATGCAACTATGCAAGACATAAAAGAACGTACACATGTTCACTAGATTGCCAGTAAAATCGAGCAAAAATTTCATTAAAATCCCGAATCAAACTATCACATTTGCTTTGTCGAACATAACCGGAATTTATTACTTGCATACCAAAACTAAAGAAAATGTTTGCTTATCTTCACACCAAAAATCCTTTTGAAAACCAAATAATTTGTTAAAAAACTCAACGTAAAGAAGAACAGTTAAATTTATTATTTTATTTTTTTTGTCAAACAACAGTTAAATTTGTTTAACCCCCTGTTCACAGTAATTAAAATGACAATGGTGATCGAAGACAATCTCTGTGGCTTTTTTGCAAAGACTGATCATCTTCTCTGTTTAATGAAGAAAAATGTATTGTTTCTCTGTTTAATCAATCTTTGCGAGTCTGCAAAGCATCCTCAAGATCAAGTTCTAACCCAACACGATTCCTTATAGAAGCAGCTGCATGACAAGACGACGTCGTTTTACAAACCCTCTCCAATTCCTTAAACCTCTCAACATCAAAGTTACGAATCTTCAACAGCTTCCTCTGTCTCGAAAGGAACAGTCTCTTCATGAAATCTTGATACGAAGGATCTCTTGAAGTCATCAAGAAATAGGCATAACCAACAATGATCCCAGTCGCTGTAGCGAAGAAAGTGATTGGTTCCATAACATCCCATGAGAATTCCCAAAATGTTAGTCTGAAAAAAAGACCAATCTGTACCATCGAAGTAGCTAAACCACACCAGAGAATCTTCCTCACTTGTCTATGAGCTTGAACATCAATCTCTTCTTTCATGATTATCAATTTCTTGAATTCGTCTTTGATTTGATCTTCCTCTGGAGTTTGATCTAAAGGCATCGCTCTTCTAATCAGATCCACCACCTGAGAACACACACACACACAAAAAAAAAGTCCAGATTTTTAATCGAGAAGAAAACAGAGAAATTAGGGTTCTTTTCGATTTGGGGATTTCTGATTGAGACATTCTTCCTCGTACCTTGTCTGGATGAAGATAGACTTTATCTCTAAAGATCAAAATGGCTCCAGCATCGTCGAGTACACGAGCGAAGTTTTGAGCTTCATCAAGAGATCTAGCGATTCCCATTCCTTGAGAAGCTTCTAGAAGTGCACTGTAAGAGACGACTTCTTTCTCCGACATATCGACAAGCTTCATCTTCATGTCTTCGATATTCACAAGCCTCAAAAGCTTCTTCGCTTCCGCCATAGATA